TCTGCTTACAAAATAATGGTTGTAGCTATATCAGACCTCCCTGGCTGATGTGTTCAGTCTAATCGAATTCCACAATTAACTGCAGAAACACACACTTGGACCAACACTCTTACTTTGAGTGTGGGTGGGTAAGAAAGGAGGCCTGAAGAATTCAAGTCTTTCACAAGATGTCAAGATGAGTTATCTGCCCACAAAGGGAGCCTTTGATGAGGAAATTGCATTCTTATTCCACAAGCTACAGTTGCCATGTTATCTCAGTCACACTGCAGGGAGCATATTCAGGAATGTTAGCACAAAAGGCCTGGATGGGAAAAGCTGTCTCCGGTGGTCCGAAACTGATTCTGATACTAAAAAGAGGGTAAGAGAGTGTAGCAAGGCCATGCTATCTGGCCTAACTACCAAAAGCATCAACTATTCCATAGTCAGTGACCAAGAGCTGAGAAGGCACGCTAAATCTGCAGAACCATTTCATTCAGGGAAAGCAGCTGAATGTGGCTCTAGACGACACACATTGCCATCAGCTCCTCTTAGCTGTCTGCTCCAACAAGTCACTTTTGGATGCTTATTTGTACCATAAAGGCTGCTAAACACATCTTCTGATAATGGACCTCTAGTAACAGTGCAATAGCATTTTATGTGAATCCAAAATTGTTCATGCTTAAGTAGTGTAACAAAATGATCTCAATGAAATCCCATTTTCATTCAGAATAATATGAATCTTAAAATGTCATAATATATTTTTAAAATCGAATTACTCCAAAGCTGGCAGGCTAGTAGAAGTGTGAACACCGCTTACACTACAGTCAGTCCCATGGCCAGATTCTTTCAGCCAGTGAGCAGAAACACCCACCTCCTTTTGTTAGGACGGTATAAACGGACTGTTGACAGCATTATTCAGCACAGCCGTGAGTGATTCTGGAGATACACTCTTGCTTCAATTTTAACATCCAGTTTCATCATAACCTAAAATCTTTTCAATGTCTTATTTATTAGGGCATCAAAGAAGTCATGACATATTGCTCTGCGTTTTTCTATGCAGAAATGTGTCACAGCTTTCCCGATGACTCAATGGTTACTCATTTGGGAGCACAGGTACTAGTACTACTACTGAGCCCTGTACCTGAAATTTAGAAATTTAGAATTTATGACTGCAATGCTGAGAAAAAGGTAGCAAGGATAATTTACTAATAATAGAGAAGAGAGTATGTTGTCAAATACTAAAGTTGGGCTATGAAAATTTTTAACAATGGGACCAGCAGTTAGCGCAATGGCTGTTTCTGAACTCCCATGTAGTTGACCACGGTTCAAGTCCTGGACCTGGTGGCTTAAACTCACGCCAGGCACATGTGCATGTGTGTCCAAGATCCTGAGAGGAGAAGGGAGGAGAAAGGATTGCAGTGTGGCTATCTACCCCCCAGGGGTGATTTCTCGCTTTCTGTCTCTCTGGCGAGTGCATGCGCCCTATAGCAAAAACCTCTTAAAAATTTTTTTTTACTGATTTAAAAAGTGTACCACTAACGTTTGCAGAAACAGTTGGCATCAGGATGCATAGACTGTGAACCAACACGCTAGCTAAGGCACAAAGTATTTCCAATGATCTGAGGGAGGGTGAAGAGCGCTGGTGACAAGAATATGATGAGTGATCTGTTCCTTTAGCACCAGCCTAGGACCTCAATTAAGGACAAAGAGGTATTATGTATGTGCACATTGTGAAGAGAACAGATGCTGGTTAGGAGCAGTGAGTCCTGCCGGGGTTTGGTAAGACCTATTTCAACACCCTACTCTCATCTGCCTCCATACACCCCAGCAGAAAGTACAATAGGGAGAAGGGGAGGAAAAAGAGGAACATCCTCACACCTGTGGGTTATCAGCTTAGAAGGGAGTGCCACAACTCCACCCTCGCTCTTTATGGGTATGGCTGTGAAATGAGAAAGAGAGCCCTTTTGTTCAAAATGGGCCAATAGGTCATTAGAAAAACCAAACTGAGATACAGAGAAGCTGAAAGGTTTTGGAGTGTACATTCTGAGCACCATGAGTCACCTTGCACCACTTTACACAGAATTCAGCCAAACCTGTACAAGACCCCTTGCTATAGGTTTTTAGCCAATGTTTCACAAATGACTGGGTAATCCTCCTCCCCATCTACAAGTTTGACCTTTGGAAAGCATCCTGAAGTCTGGAAGACCCTGGTGCACAATTCAAGAAACCTTCGAGTATAGAGATACTCACACAACTGTCCTCAACCTTCGCCTAAATACACTCTTCGTTTTACTTACTTTTGCCTCAGTTTTTTGTTTGTTTGTTTGTTTGTATTGAGGGGTTTTGGCTATAGGGCACATGAGCTCACCATAAAGACAGAGAGAGACAGAGACACAGAAAGTGAGAAATCATCCCCCAAGGGGGATGGCCATGCTACAATCCCTTCTCCATTGTCCTCTCGTGATCTTGGGTACACATGCACACGTGCCTGGCGTTAGTTTAAGCCACTGAATCTGGGACTCCAACCACGTTTGACTACATGGGCGTCCAGCAACATAGCCATTACGCCAACTGCTGGCCCTGCCTCAGTATTTCTCTAAGGTCAGTTAGGTGAGGGAATGTTTCCTCCAACCTCCACTGTAAGGTGCAGTGAGAGGAGTTGGAGAATCACTCAGAGAAACTGTGGGTATCATAGGATGTGAATTTTTGGTCTTCTTTGTATGGACATCTGCCTAGGTAGTAAAGGAGGAAGGACGTATAACCTAATGGCTGGTTCCACTGTCAAGGGCAGTAACTGCAAGACTGAGGTGGGAGCAGCTCTGTCACATATATTCCTAGGGAGGTTCCCCCTCCCCCCGGGGACTTAACTTACACTTGTGTCCCACAAGATACCCAAAATGTGGGGTTTTCACTGTTCAGGCTGAAAGATTGACAGCCACCGCTGACGAGAGAAGAGGAACAACTGTTAGGAAAGAATGACAATGGAGAGCACCCTAAGTCCACCTTATCATACGTGGTAAAAGTGATAAAAGTGCTGAACTACACATGGCCAACTATGGTTCGAGTCCCAGACCTAGTGGCTGGAAACTCGCACCAGGTGCGTGAGTGTGTGTGTGCCCAAAATGCCAAGAGGTGAATAGAGAAGGGGTTACAGTGTGGCCATCCCCGCTGAGGGGTGACTTCTCTCTGTCTCTCTGGCAAGTACATGAGGCCCATAGCAAAAACCACTTTCTCTCAAAAAAAAAAAAAAAAAAGCCTCCCTCCCGACTCCAGGTTCTTATGTGAAAACCTGTCCTTAACATGGAGGTGAGACTGAAATTTCCAGCTAGACCTTGCTGAATTGTTTTTAATTGAGCCTTTTATTTTTTTAATAAGAAGTGACTAGGAAATTATACCTGCCTAAAATGTTATAAAGGGATTTGCTGTTAATCTAAAGAGGCTCAGCAGAGCCCATATGGGATTAACTGCAGAAAATAAAATTGTTTCATTTCTGTCATTCCATGGAATTAACATTGTTTAATAAACCAGTCACCACGAGTGTTTATTATTTTTAAGGAATATGATTAAAAGACAAAGAATGTTATCTTATTTCAGATTTATTCATCAGCCTTCTGTTTTACATATTTACATATTGCATTATAAAAACTTGGATTTAAAAGGTCTTCAGGAACAGGTACCCAAAAGTGAGTATGATACTCTGTGCCTCATAGACTCACCCCAGAGGGCGCATCCAATGGCTGCTCATGAGGATGTCATCAGGATGTCTCCAGGGGATTACTGGTTATAACTATTAGGATTTTTTTTAAAAGCATCTAATTGTGTCTCTCATAAGTAACTATAGAGTGTATATAGTGGGTTGCTAGTTACTCTGATTAGAAGGACTTTATTTGCAAAGTCATTTTGGAATTATCATGAATTCACAAAACAGTACTGAGCTGTGACCCTGAGAAAGTTGCCAAAGGTGGCCAACACTTCTGCTATTAAGAGCAAGACTACACTTACTGTTATCAACAACAAAAATAGCCATCCAACTAAATTTAGGTTGAAGGTTAAATGATGGTTGAGACAAAAATAACTAAGATAAATACTATGTTCAAAGAACATCAAAGTTTAGGAAACTATAGTATGAAGAGATAAATATTCTAATGGAAATGACATAACAATGCCTAGAGAAAAATTTTTTTTCCCTCAAGGAAAAAAAGATGGAGTAAACTCCACAATGATAAAGCACAAGCTTCATGTCAAAGTAATCTGTGATACACAGTCAACTCCAAGAGTGAGCACCTATTTCAACTGTGACAACTATGGACTTAAATGCATGGGACCTGTTGAGTGGGTCTCCACAAGATAACATCTTCCAAATGCTCACAAAATGGAATTTGCAGAAAGTTCATCTCTGATCTTAGCTCTCAGATTACAAAGCTAGTGTCTGCTTTTATTACTTTTAATGTTGACATGGGAACCAACCAACAGGTAGTGCATTATTTTTGTGTAGATACAGAAAAATTAGGGGTTAGGGGGTAAGCCTGGAATTATACAATTCCAATTTGGACAGCACTAAAAACTAGCACAACTTAATAATTATGAAGGTTAGTCTGGAGTTAAGGTAGAAGTAGAAAGGATCAGTTATGATTTCAGTCCAAATGACTTAGTTTCTCCCATAGGAAAGTTGGGATTTCAGTCCAACAAATGACTTAGTTTCTCCCATAGGAAAGTTGCTAACAAGGCAATGGCTGTTCCAGCCCTTGTTTCAGAATTCTGAATTTGGAATCAGTGCTTCTTCCCATTGCCATCATTCAGGAAGTCTTACAATTTAATATCCTTCCCTTTTATTGAACCCAAGCAGTTCCTCTTCTTAATTCCTCCAATTCAGCCCTGAACCCCCTCTACTGGTGCATAAGAATGTTAGCTGCAGATTTTCTAGTTCCAGGCACATGACAGATGGTACTTGACAATGATAGAGAAACCATGACATTCATTTGCTAACATGGTATAATACAAGACTTTCAAAAAAATATTACCTGTTTAGGCTGAGCTCCCTTTGAGAGAATATCAAGCAAGTCGACAGAAGAGATGAAATAGAAGCGAGGAAAAGCCACACGCTTGGTTTCCAGGTATTCAGCAAGAGCTTTTTCACAAAAAGAAAGCCTGGATGAAGGAAAAATCTTTTTAAGCATATCTTGCCTATTCAGACATTAAGATTTCAATGAAACAAAACCCAGTCTCTGTCATCTGTCCATTCACTGCAATATGCTTACTGTTTAATAGGTAGCCTACCTCCTCCTCCTTGATATCACCATTGTACTAGGACTGGTACATGAAGGGACTTCAAAAGGGGAGAAAAATCAAATCAAAATATGAGTTTATTTTGGTGCAAAAAAAAAAATTAAACCCATGTGTAGTTTATTCATAATATACATTTTCCAAGAACATTTTTTGAAGATCTGTACAGTTACACCAAATAGAAGACAGACACACACATTAATTGCAGCTAAACATACTTCACACTTAGGTTTAGGCCACTTATCTCTTCTTAATGACATTCCTAAACAGCAGTAGAGAAGATCAGGTTTGGTACTGCACAACCTAATCATAAAATGCATTCATAAGATGGAGTTGACTGAGGCTCTTCTTTTTTCTCACTGAATGTCTACTAAACACAAGGATTTCTACCCTCTCAGGTATCCAGAAGAGTCATTAGATCCAGAACCATTTCTACTTTATCACCCCCAAGCAAAGCAAAAGCAACTCCCAGCAGAGCCCTAGAAGTCCCAAAGATCACTGACTAAAGAGAAATGTAATTAAATTGTGTAGGAATTCATTATCACCAAAACACCTTCAGAATATAAAATAGTTTGCTTAGTAATATACAAAGCGTCTTCAATAAGTTCATGGAAAATGATATTAGAAGGGCTTGTTGCAAGGAGCAATAGTGAGATTACTCAAGAGAAGCAGACCCCATGTGGTGACTGCATTATGAATCCCCTGCCAGGCGAGCTTAGTGCATACCAGGAACCTGTGAGTTCCAGGATCTGAAGGCCTGAAGGACTGAAGAAAGGAGACTGTGGTGTGACCAGGCTATGTGGGAGGTTCTTTCTTTTTTTCTTTCATGTGTGCACATGCTCTCTATTAGGAATAAGGGGGTGGGGGGAGATAACTATTATGAACAAACTATTTTTTTACACCAAAATAAGCTTGTATTTTAAATGCATCTTTCCACAAATTATTTGAAGTCCCTCATGTATTTTTATTTAGATTTTTTTTTTGCTACCTGATAATGAAAAGCAAGCACAATTCCACACAAACCTCTAATATGAGTAGCTTATCTGTCTATGTCTAATCAAAAACCAGAATATTTTTATGGCCATTGTTAGACAATTATATGTGAAAATTACTTTGCAAATGGCCCTCAGAACATGAATTTCAAAAGTGCTAACATGTTTGCAAGAATAATTTTTAATAAAACAAAACTACAAAGTGAAAAACTAAGAGGAACTGGGTACAAACCCAGTACCTGGCATCCAGTAGGGGCTCAGTCAATATTTGCAGGATTTTTTTTTTTTTTTTGCTATAGGGCGCGTGCGCTCTACAGACAGACAGAGAGAGACAGAGAGACAGAAAGCGAGAAATCACACCCCCCAGGGGGATGGCCACGTCGCAATCCCTTCTCCTCCATTCTCCTCTCGGAATCTTGGGCATGCACACACATGCGCCCGGCGTGAGTTTTAAGCCACCGGGTCTGGGACACGTACCACAGTCAACTAAGTGGGAGTCCAGTGACATAGCCATTACGCTAACTGCTGGTCCCAATATTTGCAGGATATTTTGATGAAAGAATTAATCAACCATGACAATTTTCTTGATAACAAGAGATTCTAATTTTACTATGACAGTAGTCCTTTCAGGAAAAAATATTTTTTGGTTTATTTACATTAACTCACAATATGTATCATGTAATATGTACAATGCAAGTAGAGAATTATAAGAAATATAATAAAATAATTAAGTGGAGGTTGCACTTAATATGATGATGTTAAATAATATTAGGTATGTAAAACAAATCTTGTAAAATAATAGCAAATTGATCTATTTATAGAGCTTTTTTCTTACCTGTACTGTAAATCTTTAAGTTTTTCATAGAGATTAGGTCTGCATGTTGCTTCTAAAACATTTTTTATTTTGGCTGTCTTGAACATTAACTCCTAAATAAAAGTACAACACAGAGTCAATTGTATTAGGAATGTCTAAGTTGGGAATCAAAAGATGGATTGTAATGGTTACGTCACTGGGCTCCCATGTAGTTAACCATAGTTCGAGTCCCGGACCCAGCGGCTTATAACTCAGGCTGGGCACATTGTGCATGCATGTCCAAAATCCTGAGAGGAGAATGGAGGAGAAGGGGCTGTGGCATAGTCATCCCCGCAAGGGGTGAGTTCTTGCTTTCTGTCTCCCTGTCTCTCTCTGTGTCTCCAACAAGCACATGTGCCCCATAGTAAAAATCTCTCAAAAAAAACGAAAAGAAATTTCTGTTTTTCATCTACTTCAGTGATTAAAAATGTAGAACAAGGGGCCATCAGGTGGTGTGGTGGTCAAGGCATTTGGATTTCCACACGTCTGACCAAGTTCAAGTCCTAGACCCTGTGGCTTGAAAATTACACCAGGTGTGTTTGTGTGCATGCCCAAAATCCCAGAAGAAGAATGAAGAATGAAGTAGAGAGTTGTGGCACTGACATCCTCCTTGATGTGTAATTTCTCGCTTTCCCTCTCTCTGTCTCTATTTCTCCCCAGCATGCACAAGTGCACTGTAGCAAAAAAAAAAAAAAAAAATTAAAAAATTAAAAAAAAAACCTTTAAAGAATTTTAGAAAATAAATAAAATCAAAACAAACTATGAGGAAGTAAGTTTAAGGAGACTTCTAGAACATCTGACACTGCATCTGATTACTCCTGCTGTTAAATTTTTAGAGGAAGATCAAAAACAAGTATAGTAACATAGTTTTTATTTGGAGTTATTATCAAAATAAATGTGATGAGTATTACCACCATTCTGGATCCACATTACAAACCTTAAATTCAGCATCTACTCCATCGAATCTCCTAGCATCTTCCCCAAGCTGGATTCGAATATCTTCTGAACAAACAAAGATGCTTTCCAGGTGAGACCAAGTTCGCTGGACTTCCATCCAAGTAAAGATCACTGAGTCTGCTATGTTTAATTTATTTTGCCAGCTTAATACTTGTTCGATGAAAAATTCCACATACTTGCTTTGAAGAAGAGTCTGCAACTGAACCTAAGAGGAAGGCAAAAATGGGAAAAGTAGCTAAGTTGGTAGACTGCAAGGACCATGAGAGAGGGACCACATCTCTTCTGCTCACCGCAGGATTGCTGGGCTAGCATGCAATACCTGAAATCAGCATTCAGTAAGTGAATGAATGACTTAATGGCAGTAAATATTCATATTAACATTATTCTCAAAAGAAAAAGATAAATAAAAACAGCTGCATTTAATGTCTTCTACAAGGAGCCCCTGTGTCTCTTTAAGGCAGAAAATGTTGGGTAGTCAGAAAAGCCATGATGCATTTTTTTGCACAGCAAAATATGTCATGACTTTCCAAATGACCTAACAATATTGTGCATGGGAATTAAACTGTATTCTTTCATTAGTCTCCTGATTCTTTCCTGTTAATCATTCCAAGGTTATGTATGAATATGTGTGGGTATTTTTAATCTTGGGAAATAAAACTTCCCTCCAGCCTGCTAGGCCTTCAAGTTTCCATTTTCCTCCTTATTCAGTTACTACTAAGCTGGGCAGCTCTGACATCACCGAGGCTTGCTTTAATGCCAAGCAGCCCAGCTAGCACTTCTCACCACTGATACTGACATCTCAGAAAGTCACAAGAGGAATGGCCTCTTCTTTTCATTCTCCTTCACCTGTAGGTATTTAACACAAGCGACTCTTCTTTGGGTTTGGTGACTCACGCTTGGTTTCTATGATTCTGCAGAATCTATTTCTCCTACTTCTCTGACCATTTTCTCTGTCTCTGTCATGTCTTCTCTTGCTCACCAAATGCAGTCTTTTCCAAGGCTCTGTTCTCAGCTGACTTCACTTTCTTACATCTCTTTATCTAGCTCATCAGTTCCTAACATGCCAATAATAACCTTCCAGCCTACAGCTCCAGACTGCACCTCTGTGCTGGCTTCCGGTCTGACTCCATTTTCACATGCATGTCCCTCAAAGCAAACACACCAGAAACAAGTGCCATCTCTCTAACCCAGCTTGTTTTCCGAAGTGACGTACATCTAATAATAACACTATTATTATTATTTTCTCTGAAGTGTGTCTTATCTCCCATGTCCAAAGAGATACCAACTCCTATAATCTTAGAATTCATGACCGTATATACTGTGCTCAGGTCTGTCTCTGCAGTCTTATTCTTCATTACTCATAGAAAGAAAATCTATATGTCAAGGAAACTAAATTCTTAAAATTACTTCTGATGGCAGGTTCTTCCTGGCATTCCAAGGTGCTACTAATATTGTCTCCAAAGCCTAACTGCTCTTTTCTGATTATCATTTTTTCTTAATACCATCCCATCCTCGAAGACTCCGCCTAAGCACCATAATGTTTAAGGCTCACTCAAGTCTTTCAGCCTCATTCAGAGAGCCTCTTTGTCTTTTCTTAGATGACTTGGAGTTCTTCGATCTGTCTTTCTGCTCAAGTGCAACTGGAAAACAACTGTTCTTATCTTTGGGCCCCAAATGGTACCACACCTAGAACCTATTGCAAGTAGATGCTCAGAGAAAAATGTTGAGTACTGAAACTTGAAAAAGCCAAGAATCATAATTACAATTTAAAAACATGTAATAAAAATATCCATCTTGGGGCCAGTAGAGGCATGGTCATTAAAGCATTAGACTCCCATGGGGCTGACTGGTTTTTTGAGTCCCAGACCCACAGCTTGCTTTCTTACTTTCTCTCTCTCTTCTTCTTCTTTCTCTCCTTCTCACTCTCTCAAGCACATGTGACCTATAACAAATTTTAAAACAATAATAAATATTTTAAAAATAATTCTTTAAAAAAATTATCTCTCTTACTTGGTTATGCTCAAGAGTTTCAAAGAGTTGTTCATCAGACTTCAATAACGGAATGCCTGTTCGATAGTGAACTTCATAAGAAAACTCCATAGTCGCCCAGGTCTGATTGATTTCAGTAATAACCTAATAATAAACAATATAAATTATGTACATAAAAGTTTAACTTAGGATCAATATCAAAGCTGTACTCTTCAATTTACAATACAATTTCCAAAAAAGCAGAGTGATCAAATGTCATTGGCATCTTTTTTTCCTTTGTGTAACTTATGCTGCCAAAATGAAGAATAGGGACCAGCAGTTAGCGTAATGGTGAGTAACTTATGCTGAGAAAATGAAGCATAGGGACCAGCAGTTAGCGTAATGGTTATGTCGCTGGACTCCCATGTAGTCGACCACAGTTCAAGTCCTATACCTGATGGCTTAAACTCACGTCAGGAGCGTGTGTGTGCATGCCCAAGAGCCCAAGAGGAGAATAGAGGAGAAGGGATTGTAGCGTGGCCATCTTCCCTGGGGGGTGATTTTTCACTTTCTGTCTGTCTCTCTCTCTCTCTCTGTCTTTCTGGCGAATGCACACGCCCTACAGCAAAAACATCTTCCAAAAAAAAAGGAAAGAAAGAAAGAAAATGAAAAAAAGAGAGAACGAATTCAAAAACATCAAAGGAACAAACATCACACGAGTACCAAACTTCTACTGGACCCAAGATTTACATCCTTTACAAAAACAGAGTGAAGGTAGAAAGTGACTGAAATGGTTAAAGATGAAAGAAATCGCATGTACAAATCAGCCAGCATGAGACAGGTAGTAGCCTGAGTGCCTCAATATGAATCTAAGTTCCCCGTGGCAATTTGGATCATTCTCTCTCTGAACTCACTCTGCTCATCTGTCCAACAAGGAAAACATTATTACCCACTTCAGAGGATTGAAAGAGTTAGTACAGGAGGCTGGCAGGTGGTTCTCAGCCACTAAACCTCTCATTTGACTGACCATAGTTTGAGTCCCGGACCTGGTGACGTGTTTTCTCACTTTCCCTTTGCCTCTCTCTCTCTCTGGTCAAATTAAATAACTAATAAATAAAATTGAACAAATTTAAGAAAAGAATTAGTATAAGTAACTTACAGTGGAGCTTCCCACAGGTAAAGGATTTTATGTGTTTTCTGCTACCATGACCATCACTAGCAACTGAATCAACCCTTCTGTTCCTCAAATTCACTGTGGCTTAGAATACTCTGTTCCCTGTGCAAGTCACACATCTAACTAGCATCAGAGAATGAACTGCGACTTCCGTCTTCTTCCTTCTCCGAGGGCACAAGGCCTTCTCCTAGAGTCAGCTTCTATGCACAGCATGAGCCTGCTAGAAAAGGCACTACCTTCTCAGTCCCCAGTTCTTTCATCGCTTTGTCCACGATCCTTCGGACGTCATCTTCCACTCTGTGCAGCTGCAGCGCTAGCAGATCTGCCAAGGTGGTGTCTTCATTTATTGAAAACTTGACCTGATTAGGAAGAAAGAAGATGTGGATTTATATTCTACATAGAGAATGGTTTCTTTTACCAAATGGCCAAAGGAGTGAGTAGTAACTAACACGTGCTCAAGACAGTGCTGAGAGTATGCTGGCTCTCAGAGGTGTGGACCGTCAGACAGTCCTTTGTAACTCACAGGAACTGACACACCGTTCCCCAGAAGCAGGGGCCAAGGTTTACCCCACGTTCACATTAAACCACTCTCTTTTGTTTGGTATCCTTCCCTTGTCAGCACGTTTCTTATCGCCTTTGCCCACAAAAGCCACGTGTGAAGAGAATCTCATTGTTCATTTATTATAATTTGGTTGAAATCCCAGGAATCAAGTAGTAGCTCATTTGTCTTTTCTCCCTTAAGTGCCCTATTCACTGAATGTAATTCCCAGTGGCTTTTGCGATTTCACCTAGTTTTATCACTAATTTAATCTGAGTTCTTGGCAGAAAACCTTTATTCTTTTCATGTCATTATTCATAGTTACCATGTGAAAAACAGTGCACATTTATTTCCTTAGCATCTTCTTGACATTTCCTCCTGGCTATTTGGTCCTTACAAAAAGTTCTCAGCTCTTTGGGCCCAGCAGTTAGCGTAATGGCTATGTCGCTGGACTCCCATGTAGTTGACTGCGGTTCACGTCCTGGACCCGGTAGCTTAAAACTCACGCCAGGCATGTGTGCGTACGTGCCCAAGATCCTGAGAGGAGAATGGAGGAGAAGGGATTGTGGCGTGGCCATCCCCCCTGGGGGGTGATTTCTCGCTTTCTGTCTCTGTCTCTGTCTGGTGAGCGCACGCGCCCTATAGCAAAAACCTCTCCAAAAAAAAAAAAAAAAGTTCTCAGCTCTTCGGTCGCTTCCAAACTTGCTCGTATCCCTTAGAAATGAGGAAAAGCAAAAAAGCTACAATATTTCCTTTTCTGTGCCTGCTAAGACTATCCAGTCTCAGGACCAGCAGATGGTATAATGGTTAGGTCGCTGGACTCCCACATGGTTGACCACGGTTCAGGTCTCGGACCTGGTCATAAATTCATGCTGGGAGGAGAAGGGAGTATAGTGTGGCCAAACCCCATGGGGTGTGATCTCTCGCTGTCTCTCTGTTTCTATCTCTCCAGCAAGCACACATGCCCTATGGCAAAAGTCTCTCTTTAAAAAAAAAAAAAATGCAGTCTCTGCCTCTGGGAAGCTGTAGCCCTCTCAGTTCTCCCTGTCATACCCTCTTCCACAGGAGGACAAAACATCCAAGGTTGCCCAGGACAAAATGGTTTCCTGGATCATGGATTTATCAGTGCAAAACCCTGACTCTGGAATGTCCTGGGCAAATGTATGAGTTGGTCAGCTGGTCTCGGCATCACTTTTTTTCTTTTTCTTTTTTTGGAGAGATTTTTGCTATAGGGCACGTGCGCTCGCCAGACAGACAGAGAGAGACAGAGAGACAGAAAGAGAGAAATCACCCCCCAGGGGGGATGGTCACACCACAATCCCTTCTCCTCCATTCTCCTCTTGGGATCTTGGGCACGCACGCACACACACCCGGTGTGAATTTTAAGCCACCGGGTCCGGGACGTGAATCACGGTCGACTACGTGGGAATCCAGCGACATAGCCATTACGCTAACTGCTGGTTCCCTCTGCATCACTTTTGACCTCTCTCTTCAACCGATAGGACGTAGGAGCCAGGCCTGTATGAGGGGAAGAATGAGCAGGAATGGTGCTACTCTGATCAGTCGTGCAATTTCTGCAATGAACATGTACCCAAGCTGAGGGGACAAGTGGAAATCAAATTCAGTCTCTGCTCTATTGCCCTGGGACAGCCTGGAGAAAGGTGCCTTTTCTAAGATGTCAGAGAAGGTACCTCTTTCTAGATTGCAGAAAGGCAAGCTAGGTAAGCAGAGATTGGTTAAGATGAAATTTTATTGCTAGAAATATGAGGATGAGGTAAGAAACAGAGTTCACAGTCTACTAGATAGTAAGAGAGTCAATAAAAATTTCCTGAATGAATAACTTAATCCATTTATTACAAAGTTAAATAGTCAACGCCTAAAAGCTATGGAAAATTTAATAATAATAATAGCTTTAGGGGTCACTTACTGAGCACTTACTACATGCTACATCATACAGATGAGAGCACTCCAAAAGGTTGTGGAAAATCGAATTAAAGTTATGACGTGCTTTGGTGCAAAACAATTTGGAAATCTATGCATGTATTTTTCACAATGCACATTTCTTTTTTTTGGAGAGGTTTTTTTTTTTTTTTTTGGTATAGGGCGCGTGCGCTCGCCAGACAGACAGAGAGAGAGACATAGAGACAGAAAGCGAGAAATCACCCCCCAGGGGGGATGGTCACGCCGCAATCCCTTCTCCTCCATTCTCCTCTCGGGATCTTGGGCACGCACGCACACGCGCCCGGCATGAGTTTTAAGCCACCGGGTCCGGGACACGAACCGCGGTCGACTACGTGGGAGTCCAGCGACATAGCCATTACGCTAACTGCTGGTTCCCACAATGCACATTTCTTGTGAACTTTTTTAAGTTCATGAAAAATGTGTGTATCTGTATCTCCCATTTGCTTACCAATGCATAGAAAGCATTATTTTTATTTCACAGAAGGGCCAACCTAGGTATGAAGAGTAGGTAACTTGCCCAAGACCCTAGCATTACTGTCAGGGGTGGAACCATAAAGCCCAGTTGTCCCTCTCTCTCTAGGGTTCCCCATGTTTCTATTCCCCCACTCTGCCAATCTCCCTTCACACCATGAGAGCCTTTCTTCACAGTCCTTCAAGTTCTTCATTTGCCTAAGGAGGAAATGCACTCCAGGCTTCCTTTCAGCTTACAAAGGTTGCCTTCCCTGAAAAGTAAAGTGTAAGATTGATATATTTGCTTGTCAGTAAATATAGAAAGAAAGAAAAGAGAACTTCCAGTGGCACAGACATGTGAGAAACTACTGTATATCTTGTAATAAAACCAAAACCATCAAAAAGACACCATTACTAAATGAATTGTAAAGGGGGAAAATAAAATCACAATTTCAGAATTTCTTCTCCCCCGCAAATTCACTTCTATACTTTCTGATCCTCTGTACAATAAGATTCTTTGCAAGCTAACTGGTATTCTATAAAATGATTCCGTATTATAGCACTTGCTCCTTACAAGATTTCTCTAATGCATAGGAGCAGACAGTATTCCTCTCATGATATTAATGTAAAAATGAAACTCAAACTAGAGTGGGTTAAGTGATTTGCTTAAGGTCACACAACCAGTGAAAGATAAAAGGGAGGTGAGAACTAGGATCTTTGAGTATTTAATCTACTAGGCCTGTCTCAAAGAGCTTTATCTCCTGTATGTGACTAGATTCCTTTTTTTTCCCTAGGGTTTTGTTTTTTGTTTTTTGGTTTTTTTTTTGGCCATAGAGCGTTTGTGCTTGCCAGAGAAAGAGAGAGAAAGATACAGAGACAGTGAGAAATCTCTTCCCTGGGGGGATGGCCACATCACAATCCCATCTCCTTCATTCTCCTCCTAGGATCTTGGGCACACACATGCATGCCTGGTGTGAGTTGTGAGTTTTAAGCCACTGGGTCCAGGACTCAAACTGCGATCGACCATGTGAGAGTCCAGCAATGTAATCACTATGCCATCTCCTGGCCCCTGACCAGAGATCTTTTTACAAATACCATTCTATTCCTGATAATAAAAACCAAGAAATGACATTTCTGGGTCACAAAGATATTCAATGAATGAGACCTAGGATACTGACCCCAATGGCCTTCATCAGCTGGTGCCAATGCCTGTCCCTGAGGGCAGGGCTTTGTAATTCTGTGACAGCTCTCAGAGAGGTTGCCATGTCCTTCACTGTACCTTCCAGGCCTGAGTAAGCATCCCAAACACGAACTTCCTTGTCTAGTGACCAAATTTCCTAAAGAAAAGAAGAGGGGAGGGGAAGAAACAACAGTTCTCAAGATATAATAATACCTTAAATAATTTGCCTTCTTTGGAAGAATAAATATATATAGACTGAAAAAGAATGAAGGCATTAAAACCTCTAGGCTAAAAACAGAGAAATGGAAAGAATCCATTCATTAATATATTATTCCATTATGTACAAGCTAATTGATTTCTTATTCACAAGAGCTAACTGGACACTTCATGAGGAAAACAGGAGACATTAAATATAGGGAAGTAATAGAGTTCACAGGACACGTTCAACAAAGTGTTTCCTCAGAAAACATAAGTAGGCAGGAGCCGGATTATCATCTGGGAGTCTAAGACCCTGCTCTGAGTGCCTGACTTGCTTAAATGGCATCCTTCAAATGTCAGTTACCTTTGAGTATCTGTCCCTCGGAACTTGATTATTTCATGATTTTAAGATGTCAAACAGGGCACTTGATGTGGTTGTACTCTTGGCCCACTCCCCATCGGCAATTGCGGGTGGGGAAAATTCATAATAAAACAACTGGATCTTAGCACAAAGTGAGTCACAATGCCAATCATTTAATAAAAACAAGCCAAAAACCTTCAGCTGAGAGTGGATGTTGTCGCTCTGAAGTGAGAGGGCCAAATGGTAGAGGAGACAGTAGGGAGTGAGTCCAGAACAAGGTACAGTGACCCCCAAACACCCAAAAGAATAAAGAGACATTAGTTAGTTGGGGTCTTTGGGACTGGGACAAGTTGGTAGGAGCTAAGCACAGGACTGAGCCAGGGCAGGTTATTCTGAGGTAGGAAGAATAGCCACGGCCCTGCCATTTTTTAACTGCTTTTCACTGCTAAGCATGTTGGCTTTATTCCCCCCCACCCCCAAAACAAAACAAAACAAAACAAAAATCAGAAAAAAAAAAACAACCTACTCTCTTCAGAAGACATATGGCTATGCAGACTAGCTATGAAAGTACTAAGTTCAAATACACTCAGTTCTGTATATGTCAAACCCCCCAGGGTGCTATCAATAAGGACACAGATCATAATAGTTCATATAAACTCAGAAGTGCTTGCAGGTTCCTATTAGTTGTCCCAAATTCCAGAACCAAAAGGTACCTTTTCAGATACAAAATGCTGATGGCTGCTAAGGAAAGAAATCAATAGTTTTCATAAGCCTGACCTCTCAGCCCTGAAACTCGCCCTTTTCCTCTCTGTTCTAGGCAGCCAGAGGAAGCTCCTGATTATCCTCTCTTCTCATAAATTCATTAGCCTTAATATGCTCTGATCAACTCAGTCAGAGAAAGGCTGCTTGATTAGAAGTGCAACTGGCTGAGAGTGAAAAAAATACCGTCTGATATCATTCTGTGTGAAGTAAATAAGGACACGCAGCCCAACACACCAGATCCCAGGTTAGAGAAGAGGGAAGGGGGTGGTGCTGAGAAAGATAAATCGTTGTAATAGACAGTTATGGAACTCGCCTTGGCAAACCTTCTGAGTTCTACATCCATCTGTTCCACATTAATCTGTCTCCACTGGGTTTTAGTCCAATTATCAATGCTTCTCTGAGAACGCACAAGCAGATAAAAGTGTCAACAACATTTGGTGAAAGCAAGTCTCCGCAGCAAAATATATAAACTGATGATACACAGTGACTCTATCATCCAGGGGAAAGTCAATTTTTAAAATATTAATGGCACTTGTCAAAACTTCCCTATTACCAAAACAAAAAAGTTGTCAGAACATGTCAAGCTTAAGGCTAAAACGTTATGATATATTAATTTCTGGTAGCAATGATAAATCCCATGCACACACCATCATTATCACTTAATCCTGTGTACTCTGAATAAATTGATAAGTATGCTACTATTAAATAACAGATTTTTATAATTCCACATGTAACGTAAAAGCTTTCATGAGACAGTTTTCACCCATTATAAACAAAACTTGCATTAACCATTTCTTACCTATATTTTGTATTTTATTATATTTATATTATATTTATATTTCTATATTATAGGGCTCTTAACTAACTTGAGAAAATAACATATAATAAATATTACAATATGCCTAATTTCCTAGAACTTATTTTTATATGTTTTTAATTAACCACAGATAAATGTATTTTTAGTCTAAATCAAATTAGACATACATGCACATAAAAGTACAAGCATAGGTGTAGATGTGAATTTGTATGCAGAGATGAAAATGTATTTCTAATATATTAATTTATATATACATATATTTTTAAAGAGGTTTTTGCTATAGGGCATATGTGCTCGCCAGACAGACAGAGAGAGACAGAGATAGAAAGCGAGAAATCCCCCCCCAGGGGGGATGGCCACGCCACAATCTCTTCTCCTCCATTCTCCTCTCGGGATCTTGGGTACACACGCACATGCGCCCGGTGTGAGTTTAAGCCACCAGGGTCAGGATGCAAACCGCGGTCGTCTACGTGGGAGTCCAGCAACATAGCCATTATGCTAACTGTTGGTCCCAATTTATATATTAATTTTTGTTTATATTTTATACATGGTGCAATTGTATCCAATGGGAAAGGTCCTGGGTTTGAATCCTGGGAGCTCCCTGAGAGGTTTTAAATGTGCTTGTGACTCTGGCTGGCTGAGACTGGGTATGAATGACAGTGTGGAGACCCTGTGAGAGGAGCCTATGGCTCTACTTCTCTATCATGAAAGAAATAAACTTTAGAAAAATCCCTCATATTTTATACAAACCCCCAAAAGGATGTGAGGTAATCAGTTCATTATATGAAGTTTCATTTTGAAATGAAACAAAAATAACTAATATTCAGGCTAAGAAACAAGAAATACAAACTCTACTTCTAGAGGGATCTAATGTCCACATATTTCAAGACATTACAAAACCCAAATAGAATGAAATATTGGGTTGCTGGGAAAGTCATGACTCATTTTTGTATAGGAAAACACAGAAAAATATGTCATGACTTTCCCGACGGCCTACCAGACGCGAACAACTGCATTTTACACAACAAAACTAGTAAATGAGGGGGAAAAAGTTTGCTTTCAAAAATCAGATCTTACTCTAACATAAATAATGACATCCCAGAGTCCCTTCAGTAGTTTTATTTCTTTGCGACACTGCTTCATTTGTTTGTACTCTGGAGGAGCAACATCAAAAAGACGAGTTGATTCTTGCATCTGCAACATTTCTTCTTCTAATGCCTCAAGCTCTTCATTTGCCTAAGGAGAAAACATACACACCTGCATACAAATTGCCAAAGCAGGAGGAGCCACATGACTCTGGAGTTGTGGTTATTTTGATGTTTGGAACTTCGATTTTAAAAAAGAAAATAAAACAAAATCTGCCATATAATTATGGTAAAAATGTAGTAGGTTTTAAATAAATAAACTCACAGCTACTCTAAAAGTGAGCAGCTCATCAGTATATACAATAATATTACCAATACTTCCACTACACATATTTCAGCAAAATTTGCTCTGGAATCAGAATCTTATGAAAATCAGGTTTCTTCTTGATTTTCATTGTAGACCTTTGAAGCAAAAAGTGAAGCTCTAGAAACTTCCACCTCAGAACACCTTATCTTTTTAATAACCACTTAGTTTCTTAAAAAGAGCTTTCATATTTAAAAAATACCCTGAAGGTTATCAATAGTATAAAATGCAATCAAGAGAATTTGTCGGGACCAGCAGTTGGCCTAATGGCTATGTCACTGGACTCCCATGTAGTTGACCACGGTTCGAGTCCCAAACCCAGTGGCTTAAACTAATGCCGAGTGTGTGTGTGTGCGTGCCCAAGATTCCAAGAGAAGAATGGGGGAGAAGGGATTGCAGTGTGGCCATTCCCCCCACGGGGGTGATTTCTAGCTTCCTGTATCTCTGTCTCTATCTTTCTGGTGAGCACACACTATAGCAAAAACCTCTCAAAGAAAAAAAAAAGAGAGAGAATTTGTCAAATAAAAATGAGAGCTAAAAACACTGCCTGATATGAAAAAGCTTCCTGTATCTCTGTCTCTCTCTATCTTTCTGGTGAGCACACACACCCTATAGCAAAAACCTCTCAAAGAAAAAAAAAAGAGAGAGAGAATTTGTCAAATAAAATATGAGAGCTAAAAACACTGCCTGATATGAAAATTTCACTGTATTATTATCTTTACCAAGGCTCAACTACACCCCATCGCTGTAGAATAGTTCATGTTTTGTACCAAATGTCAGCCAGCTCATGATTTCTTTCTTCATAAACCATTCTTAATTTTAGTTTCTTATTAACAAAGTAGCACATTTGTAGGATGAAAGTTCAAAGGGTAGAGAGCAGTTTGTAGGCAGGAAAGGCATCCCTGGTGTTAACTCTCCAGTTCTGGGTGCTATTTCTGTAACTCTCAATTCTGTGGTGAAGTCACACTTCTTTTTACAGATCAAGTTTGGACATTAGACTAGACTACTGGCATTGCAAAAGAGTATTCAACCTTGTTTTTCTGCTTGACATTTTTCCCATCCTCCTCTCGATAGCCATTGATTTTAATTTAGTTCTTTGGATTTTAACTTTAAATATCCATACTTAAATCTTTTTATGTTCCAACAAGCTTCAACTTTTGCAAAATTTGACAAATATTATTTAAAAATATACTTATTTATCATGTACAACATAGTGTTTTGAACTATGCATACATTGTGGACCGGCTTGGCTGAGCTAATTAATACATGCATTACTTCACACATCTCAGTGCCTCACATACTTTCTTTGTATGGTGAGAACACTTAAAATCTGTGTTGGGACCAGCAAGTGGTATGGTGGTTAAGGTGCTGAATTCCCACATGGCTGACAACGATATGAGTCCCAGACCCAGTGACCTTAAAATTGTGCCAGACATGTGCTTGTGTGTGCCCAAAATCCTTGTGGGAGAATGAAAGAGAAGAGACTGCTGTGTGGCCATCCTTCCTGGGGAGGGGGTGATTTCTCACTTTCCCTGTCTCTGTCTCTCTCTCTCTGGCAGGCACACATGTCCTATGGCAAACAACAACAAAATCTGTCTCAGCAACTCACAAAATACAATATACTGTTATCAGCTGTAGTCACCATATTGTACAATAGATCTTGTGAACTTACATCTATCCAAATGAAATTGTGCATGCTTTGACCAACATCCCCCCAACTCCAATCTTACCTTTCAATTTCCTATTACATAAATGAAAATAGTATCACTTCTCTTTTATTTTTACAAGTTATACCTTCACAAACAAGAACAGCAGCTCTTAGGACAGCTACAATGGCACGATAGTAATGCAATCCTCCATGACGTTGAAAACCCAGTGAAGGTCTACCCTGGGTTCTAGTCCTAAGGTCTCCCCGTACATGAGTACATATGGGCATGCCCATGACCTTGGATGACTGAAGCTGGGAGAATGATTGAGGTATAAAGACTCTGTTGGGGGTGTCTGCTTCTTTTACCCCCCACCTGCCCCCACATCTTGGTCTCTTAGAAGACAACTTTAAGAAAGAAAGGGGAGGGTGGCCCCACAGTTAAAGCTTAAAGGAGCCAGCTCCCACATGGTTAATCTAGGTTTAAATTTTGGTCTTAGTAGCTTAAGGTACATGCCAGGAGTGTGGGTGCAATGTGCCCAAAATCCTGACAAGAAGAGATGGAAGAAAAGGCATCGTCAATGCACCACTGGAGGGTGTTATCGTTTTTTCCCTCTCTCTCTCTGATGATCACATGAACACTCTGGCAATTAAAAAGAAACAAATAAAAAACTGAATTAAATAAATCTAAAAAAAATCATTTTTAAAAGGCCAGCAGTTACTTAAGTTTTCTTTTTTTCCTCCGAGAATCTTATCCTGAAGTACATGCACTAAAAGTTATTTTAGTGATGCTTTGTTAGCAGTAAATACATTCCATTTTTGTTTATCTCAAGTATTATTATTTCGTTCATTATCAAAATGTAGTTTCACTCAATAAAATTTAGAAGACATCATTCACTAAACTCTAATTTCTGTATTTGCTGATGAGAAGTCTGCCCTTGGTCTAATCATGACTTTGCTCTTTTTTGGGGGGGGAAGTGGGGTAGGTTTTTGCTGTAGGGCATGTGCACTCGCCAAAAAGACAGAGAGACAGAAAGCAAGAAATCACCCCCCAGGGGGGGGATGGCCACACTGCAATCCCTTTTCTTCCATTCTCCTCTCAGGATCTTGGCATGCACGCACACACACCTGGCATGAGCTTAAGCCACCGGGTCCGGGACTCAAACCGCGGTCAACTCTATGGGAGTCCAGCAACATAGCCATTACACCAACTGCTGGTCCCTGACTTCTCTTTTTTTAAAATATTTTATTTAAGTTTATTTGTTATTATTTTAATTTCATCAGAAAAGAGAGAGAGGGAAAGTGAGAAATCAAGCTGCCAGGTCCAGGACCTGAATTGTGGTCAACCATGTAGGAGTCCAGCAACTATAACCACCACACCACCTGCTGGCTCTAGTCTAACCATGACTTCTAATGGGTTATCTGTCTTTTCTACCTGGTGGTTTTGAAATCTCCTTTTGGCTTTTTACAGTTCTTCAGTTCATTACGATATGCCTATATGTTGAGTTTGTATTCATCCAGGTTGGGATTCAGTGAGTTCCCTGAATTTAATGATTCACATTTTGACCAGTATATTAGTCAGGATTCTCTAGAGAGACAGAAGCAATCAGTGATAGTGATAGACAGAAATATATTAGAGAATTTATAAGGGAATTGGCTCATGCAATTATGAAGGCTGAGAGAGCCCATGATGGGCTGTCTGCAGGCAGAGAACTAGGGATACCAGGCCAGGGTCAAAAGCCTCAGAACTAGAGAACCCAATGGTGGAACAGTCTGAGGCTGAAGGTGTGAAAACTCAGTGGAGGAAGGAGGGCTAGTGAAATTCTGGGGTCCAATCTGAAGAGCCTATACATTTGATGCCCAGGGGCAGGAGAAGAGGGGTATCCTCGGTCTAGGAGAGAGAGAGGGGGCAAATTGGTCATTTCTATTTCTTTTTATTTTATTTGGGCCCCCAGCAGAATGGATGGTGCCCTCCCATATTGAGGGTGCATATTCCCCAGTCAGTTTGGTGATTTACACACCAATCTCCTCTGGAAACACCTTCACAGATATATCCAGAAGTAATGTTTTTATCACCTATCTCAATATCCCTTAATCCAGTCAAATTGGCACCTAAAGTTAACATTCACTAGCAGTTCTAGAACAGTTTCAGCTATTATCTTTCAGACTATTTCCTCTAACATTTTGCTCATTTTCCCCCTACAGGAAGTGTGGTAGAAGGGTTAATGTTGTTTTATGGGTTTGTTGAAAAAGTCATGATATGTTTTTCTTTTTAAAAGATGTGTTTATTTATTTATTTCCATTTGTTATTATTGCTGTTTTTTAATTTGAACAAAGAGAGAAAGAAAGGCAAGACAGGGACTTGAACCACAGTTAGCCATGTAGAAACCCAGTGCCTTTAACCACCATACCTAACCTGCTGGCCCCATAATGTGTTTTTCTATGCAAAAATGTCATGACTTTTCAGATGACCCAATACCTCCTCTGTGTCTGTCAGGCTCTTTCACCTTTCCCATCTCCTTATACCTACGTACTGTACCTAAATGACGTCTTTCAGTATAATTTACATCTCATTCATTTTCTTTCCAATTTTAACCAACTCTTTAATCCATATGCTGAGCTGTATTTTTTAACAACTATATTTTTCATTTCCATAAGTATCTGGCCCTTTTTCAAATTCAACTGATCATTTTCGATAGTGTCAAAGCTGAGATCTTGCTCATTTTTTTCACTTGTATCTTTTATCTCCTAATATCTGAAGCTTTATATGGGACTATACTTATGGCTTCTTTCTACTGACATATGCAAGATGGTGTTTATTTATTGTTCCATGATAAACTCCTATTTGAGAGAACTGAATCTGCTGGATCCTTGAACAGACTGGAATGAGAGCACTTTTTTCCAAAGCGGATTTAAGATTGTTTTTACTGGGAGCTTAAGAAGAGCTACTTGCCATCATTTCAATTTCCTGGCCTGGAGATTCCTTACTTATATATAGGGGTAGAATAAAATAGAACCATGGACCATTGTGAAAACAGGCCTCTGTTGATGAATACCCGGAGGATCTCTTTCCTCTGTGTCTAACCTTCTCTGAGCTTTGGCAGGAATAGAAAGGCACTCATAGGCTCCCATTGCAGGCTGCAGACTTCCTTCCACCAGCCCACCTCTGACTGAGTGTGCAACCTCTTCGCAGCATTTCCTCTTCCCCTGTGAAAGAGCTACAATTCCAGACTTCTCATATTTTCACAGCAGCATAGGTTTCTGGGTTTGCCTCTGCTTGCTATCCTGCTTTCAACACTGTTTTCTTTCTTGTGCTCTTGAAAGACTTCTCCTATTTCTTTTTTTTAAAATTTTATTTTAATTTATTTATTTACGTTCATTCACTGTACATCATTACAGCATACAAAATGAGATTTTCCATCCAGAGTACACTGTATATCGTCTCAATCAAGCACATCAACATACATGTTATTGTCAACAAATAATTTTCCATTTCTTGTTTCCTGTATGTTTTGCTTCCCCCCCCCCTCCTTGATTCCTTATCTCTTACCCTCTGCCATCTCCCACTATCTTCCCACACTGTCTCTGGTATCTATGTTTACTTTCTATACTGTTTTCCCCCCATTTTTTATTGAATTATTAAAGATCTTAATTAATCTAAATGTTTTCATAGCAAACACAGCTGATATATACATTTCCATGAACACAAGTCTAACTTTAGGCATCTTGTAAAGTATCACCTAGCTGGGGCTATATATCTTAACTGTGGTCATTGAATGGACTTTTTTTTTCCTGAAACTTTTTTTTTGTAACTTAACTTACATGCTTTCCCTAAGCATCATCATAGCATACAAAATGTGATTTCCCATCTAGAATATACTGCATAGTGACTTAATCATGCAAATTATTATCAAAAATTTTCTGCCCCTCTTTCTGACCCTCTGTCCTTTCCCACCCTCTTCTCCCACTGTCTCTGGTGTCTACAATTGTCTTCTATTCCTTTTCCACCCACAT